GGAGGATCACTTGAGCCCAGGACTTGGAGGCCACAGTGAGCTATGATCATGCCACCACCCCACAGCCTGGGCGACAGAGCAAGATCCTGTCTCTGAAAAAAAAATCCTGCTGTTTTTGGAATACTTTTTCACTTGCTGCAGATGAATATTTTGTGTAAGCAGTTTTTGGAGAAATAATATAAATAAAGGAGTAGGAGTTTCTGAAATAAGTTTTATGGTTGCTTCATCATACTTGCTTGCTAAATGTCGTTATAGGAGGCAGAAGTCGATGTGAGACTTACCTTCATTAAAACCTGGTTGACCCAAAGAAGAAATCATAGCCGGGCTTGGTGGCTCAGCCTGTGATCCCGCGCCTTTGGGAGGTTGAGGTAAGTGGATTGCCTGAGCCTGAGGGTTCGAGACCCGCCTGGGCAACTTGGTAAGACCTCATCTCTACAATAAATCAAAAAAAATTAGCCGGGCGTGGTAGCACGCGCCTGTAGTTCCAGCTACTTGGAAGGCTGAGGCAGAAGGATCGCTGGAGCCCAGCAGGTCGAGGCTGCGGTGGCTGGGAACAGCCACTGGGCTCCAGCCTGGGCGACAGAGTGAGACTCCAACTCAAAAAATAAAATAAAATAAAATAAACTAGAAAGGGAAGATCAAATTAAACCTAAAGCAAGCAGTAGGAAAGAAATAATAAAGATTAGCACAGAAATAAAAGAATAGAAAAAAAATCAATGAAACCAAAAAGATTGATTCTTTGAAAAGATCAAGCCAGGCTCGGTGGCTCAGCCTGTAATCCGCGCCTTTGGGAGGCTGAGGTGAGTGGATTGCCTGAGTCTGCAGGTTTGAGACCCGCCTGGGCAGCGAGACCTCATCTCCACAATAAATCAAAAAATCAGCCGGGAGTGGTAGTGGTAACGCATGCCTGTAATTCCGGCTACTCGGAAGGTGAGGCGGAAGGATCGCCGGAGCCCAGCAGGTCGAGGCTGCGGTGGCCAGGAGCGGCCACTGCACTCCAGTCTGGTCGACCGAGTGAGACTCCAACTCAAAAAAAAGAAAAGATCAATACAATAGACAGACCCTTAGCTAGAGAGACAAACAGCGATTAAAGACTCAAATTACTAAAGTTAGGAATGAAAGAGGGAATTATAAGGGAATATGATGAACAAATGTATGCCAGCAAATTAGATAATTTAGATGAAATGGATATATTTTTAGAAATACACAAGTTAGCAAAGTAATTCAAGCGTAAATAGCAATTCTGAATTGACTTATCAATTTTCCTACAAAGAAAAGACCATATCTACATGGATAAATGGTGATATCTACTGTATATATATACATATCTTTTTTAGTTGAAGTCTCACTCTTGTTACCCAGGCCGGAGTTCAGTAACACGCTCACGGCCACCGCAGCCTCGACCTACTAGACTCAGATGATCTTTCCGCCTCAGTCTTCTAAGTAGCTGGAACTACAGACACACAACACCATGCTTGGCTAGTTTTTGTGATTTATTGTAGACACGAGGTCTCACCAAGTTGCCCAGGCTGGTCTGGAACCCCTGGGCTCAGGCAATCCTCTCGCTTGGCATCCCAAAGTGCTGGGTTTAAAGGCTTGAGCCACCATGCCTGGCCTGGATTTTCTCGCTTTTTAAAAAAATCAGTACAATTGAATTAGCTTAGAGAGTTTAACACAAAAATCAATTTAGATGAAAATAGTCATAACCCCTTCCTTTAATGCAAAATGGTTTGGGGACATTAAAATGTATGTATACACTAAAACATTAAAAATAAAAGGAAACGAAGGACATCCAGATTGGAGAAGAAGAAGTAAAGCTATATATATTCACATATGACATGATTGTAATTATCAAAAACACACACACAAACCCTACTAAAAAAATATTAGAATTAGAAATTGAGCTCAGCATGGGTTGTAGGTTACAAGCTCAATATTCAAAAAATTGATTGTGGTAAATGGCTCACACCTGTAATCTTAGCACTTTAGGAAGCTGAGGTGAGAGAATTGCCTGAGTCTAGAAGTTTGAGATCAGCCTGGGCAACATGATGAGACCTTGTCTCTACAATGGATAAAGAAGTTGGCTGGGTGTGGTGGTGCACACCTGTAGTCCCAGCAACTTAGGAGGCTCAAGCAGAAGGATTACCTGAACCTAGCAGATCAAGGCTGTGGCAGCCATGATCATGCCACTGCACTCCAGCCTGGGCAATAGAGTGAGAATATGACTCAAAAAAAAAAAGTTGATTGTAATTCTATATACTAACAATAAATAATATGAAATGAATATTAAATAATCCATTTATAAGAGCATAACAAAGAACAAAGTATTTAGGAATAAATTTAACAAAAAAGTATATCATGTTTACACTGAAATTATAAAAGTGTTGAAAAAATTAAAGGTGATCTAAATAAATGAAAAGATAGCCTATGTTCATGGATCAAGACTAAATACTGTTTTAATATTGAATACGCTCCACATTGATATATGGATTCAATGCAATCCTCATCATCGAAATTCTAGCTGACATTTTTCAAAAACGGACAAGCTGATTGTAAAATTCATACAGAAATGCAAGTGTTGTATAACAAATAGTTTTGCTGGACTTTGTCACTGGTTCCTGGAGGGAGACCCTACATCCTTGTGATTTCCTGAGTAATAGGTGTGTCTTTGTTATTCACTAACCCCTTGGATCATACCAGAGCTTAAGCTAATGAGATGAGATGACCAGATGGTGTCTAGTCACCAGAAAAATCAACTGTGTGATTAGAGGTTGGGGCTTGAGTTAGTCCAGTTTTCAGAGAAAGGAAGGAGTCTGGAGATCAACTACATGACCAATGATTTAATCAATAATGTTTGTATAAAAAACTCTAATAAAAATTTTAGCCGTTGAAGCTCAGTGGAGCTTCCTAGCTGGTGAACACATTGATGTGCTGGGAGGGTGATGTGCCCAATTTCATGCGGGAGAGGGCAATGGATCTGGGTTCAGGATTCTCTCGAACCTTGCATTCTATAAAATTTAAAAAATCAAAATGTTCTAGTTCTGCCTGACTCCATTAAATTTGAAGTATAACAAATGTAATTTAATTCTCTCTTGCTTTGAGATCTCTGTCTCCATCTCTTTTTTTTTTTTTTAGTCAGGGTCTCACTGTGTTGCCCAGGATGGAGTGCAGTGGCATGATCACAGGTCACTGCAGCCTTGACTTCCTGGGCTGAGGTGATCCTCCTACCTCAGCCTCCAAAATAGCTGGGACTACAGGTACAAGCCACCAAGCTTGGCTAATTTAAAAATTTTTTTTGCAAAGATGAGTTCTCATTATGCTGCCCAGGCTGGTCTTGAATTCCTGGGCTCAAGTAATCCTTCTGCTTGGCCTCCCCAGAGTGCTGGGATTACAGGTGTGAGGCACCACACCTGGCCCTCTGTCTCATTTTTAAACTTAACTGGTAACACATCCCCTTCTCTGCAAACTTTTGTCCTACCTCTTCCCTTTCCTCAGCTTAGTTTGCTGTTTCTTGCTTGGTGATTTTATGGGACCCAGTAGCCTCAGGGAAATTTTTTGTTAAAAATCCCAATTCAAGACAAGGCATGGTGACTCACGCTTGTAATCCCAACACTTTGGGAGGTGAAGGCAAGAGGATTGCCTGAGCCCAGGGGTTTGAGACCAGTCTGGGCAACTTGGTGAGATCTCGTCTCAACAATAAATCACAAAATTAACCATATGTGGTGGCTCACGCCTGTAGTCCCAGCTACTCAGGAGGCTTAGGTAGAAGGATCACCTGGAATCAGCAAGTTGTGGTGGCTATGAGTGTGCCACTGCACTCTCCAACCTAGGTGACAGAGTAAGACTCCGACTCAAAAAA